AAGACCGAGCAACAACCGATTGTTTCTTGCTTCTCCAAGAAACAACATTACCAGCCACCAAGCTGCAATAYCCAGAAGTAGATCTTCTGTCATCAATGTTTCCGGCCCAGTCAGCATCGGTGTAGGCTTCAAGTTTCATATGACCATGCTTGGCAAACAGAATTCCCTTTCTTGGGGAGCCCTTCAAATAACACAGGATTCGCTCTGTTGCTGCCATATGAGTGTCTCGGGGAGCATGCATGAATTGGCTAATGCAACTGACCGCATATGAAATATCTGGCTGTCATGCATAGGTACAGAAGTTTCCCAAGAAGTCCCTGGAAGACTCCTGTCTTTTAACAATATCCCATCTGAGGCAGAGAGTTTATGACTCGTATCAATAGAAGTAGCAACTGGTCTACCACCCATCTTCTCAGTTTCAGAGAGCAAGTCAAGAACATACTTCCTTTGGGAGATAAGAATTCCATCCTTTGATTGAGCAACTTCTATGCCAAGAAAGTATCTCATTTCCCCCAAATCTTTAATCTCAAACTCTGTATGGAGAAAAGATTTTAGATCATGAATTCCTGAAACATCATTACCTGTCACTACAATATCATCTACATACACAATGAGGTATACTGCCAGATGTCCACTCCTCTTCACAAAAAGAGTATGATCAGACTGTGTCTGCACATAGCCAAAGTTAACAAGTGTTGTTCTAAATCTCTCAAACCATGCTCTAGGGGATTGTTTTAGTCCATAAAGGGATTTCTTTAGCCTGCATACCTTTCCTTTCATATCTGTTCCATACATCCTTGGAGAAAGAGACATATAAACCTTCTCATGTAATTCACCATTCAGAAATGCATTCTTCACATCTAATTGATAAAGGGGCCAGTCAAAGTGAGCAGCTAAAGATAGAAGAACCCTCACAGATGTCATCTTAGCAACAGGTGCAAAGGTCTCCAGATCATCAATCTCATGTCTGTGTATAGCCTTTCGCAACCAACCTGGCCTTATACCTTTCAATGGTGCCATCAGCTCGATATTTGATAGTAGACCCACTTGCAACCAACTGGACCCTTCTCTTCAGGCAAATCAACTACTTCCCATGTGTCATTCTTGTGTAGGGCATCAATTTCAAATCTCATAGCATCCCTCCATTCTGGAATATTAAGAGCTTTTGACACAGACCTGGGAATAGGGTTAGAGGAAATAGAAGAGAGATAGGCAAAGTATGAAGGTGAAAGTAACTTGTAAAAAAGGTGTTTGGAAATGCAGTGTGCAGTGCACGTCCGTTTTCCTTTCCTAACAGCAATGGGAATATCAAGGTCAGGGAAGGATGGCTCCAAGGGTGCTGAAATAGTATCTGTTGTCTCATCTGTGACTGGAAGTGTATGAGGCTCATGTGTTGTAAGGGAAACAACCTGTTCATTTCTAGATCTTTGCTTTTGATACACCTTGGGATTGTGGATAGGATGAGGAGGTAAAGGAGGAAGAACACTGGGACATGGAGAATGGAACGACTGATCCCCCCTTGATTCATTTGAAGGAGAAGCAAACTCATCAAAAGACTCAACTGGGACAGGAAGAGGAAGATCAAACACCTATGACAAATCCTCCCCCTGTGGACAATGTCCTTCCGGAGAGGAGCCATAAAAGGGAGAAAGCTCATCAAAAGTGACATCCATTGAGACATACCGAGTGCCAGTCTTCGGATCAAAACAACAGTAACCCTTCTATGTGGGGGAATAACCAAGGAAGATACACTTGTGGGCTTTTGGTTCAAATTTATGCCTTTGGACACTTGGAACATGTACATAACAGGTGCAGCCAAAGACACGAAGAGGAATAGAAAAAAGGTCATTGTCCGAATGAAGGAGATTGAAGGGAAACTTAAACCCTGGATGGCATACGGTTTATAAGGTAGGTAGCAGTGAGAACGACATCACCCCAAAATCTTGTAGGAACATGTGAGGCAAACAGTATACTTCTTGCAACTTCAACAATATGCCTATTTTTCCTTTCAGCAACTCTATTCTGTTATGGGGTCCTAACACAGGAGCTTCGATGAATAACCCCCATGTAAGAGAGATAGCAGGATAAGTTCTTCTCAAAATATTCTTTTGCATTGTCAGATCTGAAAATTTTAATCCTAGTTTCAAATTGGGTTAGAACAAATTCATGGAATTGCCTTACAAGTCTTGGAACTTCATCACGGGATTTCATCAGGAATATCCAAGTGAACTGAGAAAAGTCATCAATAAACAAGATAAAATATTTGTAGCCACCCATAGAGGGTAAGTGGTAAGGCCCCCACACATCAGAGTGCACAATATTAAAAGGAAAAGATCTTTTATTGCTCAAAGGATAATTGTTTCTACAATGCTTTGATAACTCACAAGACTCACAATGAAGACTGGACAAACTAATTCCCTTAAACAGTTCAGGGAATAGATGACTCAAGGCAGAAAAWGACAGATGACCCAAACGACGATGACACAACATAATTCGACTAATAGACTCTGAAGAAACAGACCCAAAAGCAACATTCCCAGGAGGATCAGGGCATTGTCCCGGAGTATCAAGCAGGTATATTCCGTTCGCCTCATGGCCACTCCCAATCACCTTTTGAGACTCCAGATCCTGAAAAACACAGTAGGAAGGAAAGAAGGTTACACAACAGTTTAATGACTTGGTTAAACTACTTATAGAGAACAAATTTGTGTTCAGTTTAGGTACACGAAGGGCAGAAGGTAGGAACAAGGAATCTGTAGCCTTGATGGTTCCCTTGCCAGAAATAGGGGCAAGTGAACCATCGGCTAAAGTGATTTTATCACGTCTAGGAAGCAAATCATATGAAACAAACAAGGTAGAAAGGTTGGTCATATGATCAGAAGCACTCGAGTCAATAATCCAAGGGATCTTAAGATTACCTGAAGTGGTTGCATGATTAGCAGAAGCCCTTATACCTGAATGAGCAAATGCAGAAGAAGCTGAATTTCCTGAAGGGTTGGAAGAAGAAGTCATGCCCTCTAGATGACTGATCATCTTCCCAAACTTTTCATATTCTACTTTCATGGCTGCCAACTGTGCACAAGTAGACATCTCTTCAGTATAGCACTTATCACTATCTAGACCAGTAGCCACATTTGCACTCCCTGTCCTTTTACTATCATGTTTTTTCTGAAACTGAATGGGAACAAGATCAAGATGTAATTTGCAGCACTTGTCTTTGGTGTGCTTTGGCTTCTTGCAGTACTCACATACAATCTCTTTCTTCCCAAGGCCACTAGAAGCCCCAGCAACCCCTTTGGGTTTGACCCCCATATTCACAAAGTGTTCACAAATACCAGCCCCTTGAACCTGGACAGCCCTTCTACTCTCTTCACTGCTTACCAAAGCATATGCTTGTGACAATGAGACACTTTCCTTGGATAAAATATTCTGTTTTGTGATGTCATATTCTGGGTTTAGTCCGGTTAAGAACTCAAACACCCTGTTTCTTTCAACTAGTTTCTTGTAGGTCTCTGCATCATTGGTGGTGTCCCAAGTTACAACTTCTATTAGATCAATTTCTTGCCACAGAGACTTCAGGGTTGAGAAGTATACAGCAAGGGATTTCTCCCCCTGCCTTAAATTTTTCACATCACTTCTCAATTTATAGGCTCTAGCCACATTTAGTTTCTGGGAATAGGTTTCTGCAACACTGTCCCAGATTTCCTTTGYTGAATTCATCCATAGATAGTGTTGGCTAATCTGTGGCTGCATTGAGTTCACAAGCCACCCAATAGTAGTGTAATTCTCTTGCATCCACTTCTCATAGGATGGATCATCCTATGGGGGAGCCTTCTTGCTTCCAGAGATAAACCCCCACTTTCCTCTATTACATATATAAATCTTTATCGATTGTGACCATGCCAAATAGTTGGTTCCATCCAGCTTAATTGTGGTCACAGTCAATAAAGAATCAACTGGAGTTCCCTGAACTTGTCCAAATTCAGCAACATTCTTCCTCTCAATCTCTGAGGAGTTCATCATGTAAACACTTCAAATAAGGTTTCATTCAACTTCTACTAGTGTACTGAATGAGAATGAGCTAGGACTGTGTTAAATCAGCCTCAAACACAGCAATACACAAAGTCAAACCACACCCGGAAGCTGTGAGAACCAAGCTTGGCAGCAGCACCTTGTTGTCTACACGAGACACTAAATGGCTTGGTTCAGCCTTCAAGAAGTAATCAACAGGCCTCCAAGCACTGTGCACCCAATTGAAGTGTACCTTTACTAATCAGGAATTCTAGGTACTCACCAACAAGTGCCCTAAAAAGAGCAAAAACAGTCCGTAGTGATTAAGGGGCCTTTTTACGAACACTGTGTGGGCAGCAGAGAAAGCCCCACAGTCAACAAGTGAGAAACACCTCAGGAGCAGTCCGTACAGGACCAAAAAACAACCAAACAGAAGCAAGAACTTGCACCACTGAATCCAAAGAGGTTTTGGCAGCTTGACAGTCCCAAAAAGGGAGAAAACCAACCCCGAAATCTCTGGGTTAAACCAGATTAACCACAGCCGAACAGCTGTACAGTTTCAAGGGAACTTCGAACACTTCAACAGTCCCCAAAACAGAAATATAACTCAGAAATAACTGAGTGCAACTTACAATCTCTTTAATCTCTGATTTGAGCTCCAAATCAGGAACCGAACAGTCCTTTTCTCTGATTCTTCCTGGTCACCAAACCACTCTCCAAGAGATTAAGGTCTTGGGCACCCTCCAATGACCTCCAAGAATCAGGCGACACGAGCTGAAGCTTCCAGCCCTAGAACACTCTCATGCAGTCGGCTGGACTACACCCACATGCGAACCTACGCCAAGTTCAGGGCTGCTCTAATACCAAGAAGAAAACCAGACTTTGAGAGTGTGGCAATGAGGGTTTAGAGTATGAGAGTTTCGAACCTGCTCTCACTCTAACACCCTATCACTATTGTCTTATGTTAAATTTGAATAATTACAAAGGGGGCCCTTAGTTGGGCAAAAAATTACAAAGAACATAACATAGGAAAGATGGGCTCAGAATAAGGCCCATTACAGAAAGGAGCATAGACAGTAAGAAAGAATAAGCAGCCTATGGACCATTCGGCCCATCTTCTCTACACTCTTCTTTGCCCGACATTGGCCTTTCTGTAAATACTTATATGGTTTAAGCAGACTGGTAGTCCACACTGGTGATCTATGGAAGACAGATAAAGAAACACCTCCTCAAGGATTTTGAACAAGCATAAGCTATTTAGTACTTCACAATCTCTCAGACCGCTTCTAAAACTCAAATTCCAGTTTAACCCATTAGGATGCACAGATATAAGGGATGAGGTAGGTTGCTTTTGAAAGTGGATATTGCATATAAACTTTACCCTACTACCATTGCAAGCATCATACCTGATATGGTTTAAGCAGACAAGATGGACCAAAGAATTTGCTTTCCACAGTGAGTTTAAGAGTAACACTACCATTCAAGCCTGCATACCGGCCATTAACCATCTTGCCATATATGCTCAATAAATCAGTATCTTTCTCCTTGTTTCCATTCTGTTATGATTTCTGTGACTACTACCACAGTCTCTTTTTCCTTATTTTTTTCTTTTTGCTTGGGTTGTTTTTATTTTCTGATAGACATGCAAAATACATGTGATATTTTTTAAAATAACAAAGGTTCAACATTGTGGTGGGAATATGGCAATAATACCATTTTTACTGACAGGTTTGGAACACAAGTGCTATTCATTCTTAAGTTAATATTGTTCAGAAATGTTCATTAAATATCATTAGTTGGCATTTATATTTTTTGTGATCTTATAGTTTATATCAGTGTACCTTTTAACAAATTTCTGCAGTAGCTATTGGCCTATTGCTATTTTCAATAATCTGTTATATCTTTTTAATATGTAAATATATTTGGTACATGATCGTTTCAATGATAAAATCAATACAAACAAAAAGATTTAGCACAGATGTATGATATATAAACATTGGAACAATCATTTTTTTAGAAATTTAAGAGAATTATCTAAACTGTTATAAAATTTTGCAAATCCATTCTAAATCAAACTTTCCATGGATCAGTAAGCCTTTAATGTCACGTCAGGCCTCCCTTGGCCTGAAGCAGGAGACTCCCAAGTACTTGTACAATGGATAAAAAAAGATTTATCACTTTTTCCATTGAATCCTTAACTCTTCTCATTTCACACTTTAGAAGAAAGTGCTGAAGTTTGATGGTTTGGAGAAAGTGAAGGAAATGTGAACTACCAATGACCACCATGATTTACACCCCTGTAGATAACTGTTATTCAGACCTCTTATTCATAATCATCTTTTTATTAGAGAAATGCATGAATGTGTGATGAAACTTTAGCCTTTATTTTGAAAAGGCAAGAACAGTTTTTATTTGTAACCATCTCTATTAGTACCCTGTCAGCATCCTTCTGGATAGCAAGACTTTTTCTGATTCATTAATGAAATCCTTTTTTCTGTTTATTATTAAAAAAAAAATGATGGATGAGTAGTAAAACTAGAAATGTGAATGCTTTGAATGTGTGATGGAACTTTAGCCTTTATTGTGAAAAGACAGGAACTGTTTATTTTTGTAACCGTCTCTATTAGTACCCTGTCAGCATCCTTCTGGATAGAAAGGCTTTTTCTGATTCATTAATGAAATCATTTTTGCTGTTTAATATGGGTGTAAAGTTTTCAAAGAAAGTGTTGGGGAGATTGTTGGTCCTTAGTTTTGTTTGGAGGTGTTCCCTCAACACCTCTGTAGGTTGTAATCGCTTTTTCTTTTTATTGAATTTTCTTTTTACTATCAAAAAACAAACTAGAAAGGGCAGGGTTAGAAATGAAATCATATGAAGGAACTTAGGAGTAGCTCCAATAGATGATAAAATGAGAGACTAGATTGAGATGGTTTGGTCACATGCATAGAAGACCATCTGGATCACTGAAAAGGACTTAGGTGGAAGTAATAAGAAATGATTTAAGAAGATATGGCACTGAATGGAAAACAAGGATTCATTTAACCCACCTCATATAGTTGGGACAAGGCTTACATGATGATTAGACAGGATTTTGCATTTCCATAGAACCTTTAGGCTATGCTTGGTTTGAAGGAAAAGGTCTGGAAAGGAAAGGAAAGGTAGGGAAACCCATACAAGGTTTGTAAAGGTTTCCCTACCTTTCCCTACTTTTTCCTTCAAATCAAACATAGCGTTAGAGAATTAAGACACTGTTGTACTAGTATTAACTATTAAGGTAGTATTGAAACTTCCAATTTTGAAGAATTGATTTTTAAATCTTTACAACCATCCTTTTGAAGAAACCATAAGGAATGGTTGAACAGTTCTGTCAAAAATTTTGAGCTATAATTTATTAACATGATGGCTCAGATGTAAAAAAATGCACTCACTGGACACTGCCTAATCCATGTAGATTTCATTGGTTTGTTTTCTCAGGGCGAAATAATTTGGTTTCCCAGAGTTGGTCTAGAGATATTTTTTCTTTATGGTAGCTTCAGGGTTAAAGTCCTTACAACTCACAAAGCATCATATTTTGCATGCTGAAAATCTAGATGAGGCAAGTAACTAACACCTTTCATGTCTTTCTTTAATCAGGAAGGTGTGACAAAGGAGTATGAAAATTTCAAGTTTCAACAACCATATCAACAGGCTTTGTACTACTGCTCTATAATTCTAGAGGATCACTCATGGCCTTTGAATGAAAAACTTGAAGTTCTTCCACATCTTGAAGCTGATGACCTTGCAAAACTTTCACCCGTGATGCTCTCAAAGGCCTTCTTGGAATGTTACATTGCAGGTTCACATAATTTTTATAAATTTAGTTTATTGTTTAATGGCTATGATATGTATGCCTTCTCTAGATACTTAACACCCAAATTGTTTTTATCAGGAAATTTTGATCCAAATGAAGCAGAATCGGTGATCAAGCATATTGAAGATATTTTCTTCAAGTGTCCCCAGCCTGTATGCAAGCATTTGTCCCCTTCCGAGCATTTGGCAACTAGAATTATTAAGCTTGAAAGGGGTGTTAGTTACTTCTACCCTGTTGAAGGCCTAAATCAAAGTGATGAGAACTCTGCATTAGTCCACTATATTCAGGTATATACCAAAAAGAAATATGTTTGTAAGTGGGATAATTATTATGCATTACTTTTAACAAGGTTTGAAAATACATTCCAGGAAATTTCAATTCTAAAAAGTGGGAAACCCATGAGAGGTTTCAAAAGAAATACAAAATCTATAAGTTGAACTTGATGAAATGTTGAATGAGTGTATGTAATGTGTAAAGAAAGGATTAGGTATTAGAAGCTTACTTAACCATGTAGGGCTTGGCACTTATATGCTTGTAATTCGTTCTTTCTTTTACAAATATATAAAATTTTATTGACAACAATTAAAAGAAATAATTTGGTGTTGATTCTGAAAATTAAATTTTGCTCTTATTGATATGTAGGTTCACCAAGATGACTTAGTGTTGAATGTGAAACTTCAACTGTTTGCCCTTATTGCAAAGCAACCAGCTTTCCACCAGCTCCGTTCAGTTGAGCAACTTGGATACATTACTGTGCTTATGCAGAGGTACATCTCGCACTCCCGCTTTTTCCCAAACTTCATTTTTCACAATGTCAATACTGTTTGCATCAAAACTGTTGATTTTTTCCACATGTAGGAATGATTCTGGTATTCGAGGAGTGCAATTTATTATCCAATCAACAATAAAGGTATTATAAGATATCTTTTCACAATATCCTCTCTTTCATTTCAATTACCATTTTGTCTTTTCTAAAATAATATCAATGTTGACCTTGACAGGATCCACGGGAGGTAGATTTGAGAGTTGAGGTATTTCTTAAAGTGTTTGAGGGCAAACTTCATGAGATGACATATGACGAATTCAAGGTTAGGTTTTCTCTTCCTTCTGGATCATTAACAAGACCAAGATTTCTTAAGAGAGGCAGTATGAAAAAGCGGTCCTAAATCTCTATGGTTGAGAACATAGTTTTCAAGGCACCAAGGCGAGGCTAGGCAACACGGTGCCTTGTCACCTAGTCGCCGCAATGGGTTTTTTTTTAAGTAAAAATCCTATATCCTAGGGTAGCTCCCTAGGTTTCATAGCAACTAGCAACCATATTCCCTTCATAATTATCCATAATTTTCATAAGTATAAATTTCATGTTAATGTATAGAAAATCAACATGCTCATGAGAAGAAAAGAAAATGCAGAAAATATAGGGGTTGAACCCATATTTTTGTTAAAAGAAGAATATGTATTGATCGGACAAAATTTTAAGTTTTTCCTTACTTATTGGTTCAGGTTTTGAAGTCTTTGAGGGTTCAAGACAGAATTTGCCTATGTGTGTTTGATTAAACCCTAACAAATAAGAAAATAATAAAAAGAGACTAGTATATAAAGTTATAAACACACCAACTGGATTAATTCTATACATTTAATAAATGGCATTATTATGTAATGTTAAGAAAAAAAAAGTTTTCCAATTTACTTTCTAAAGAGTGTAATTGTTTGCAGGATTAAATCATCTAAAAAGATTTGTGATCCATGTCCATCATAATTGTAGTTCATCTATTTCAAAGGTTTTATTTGATGGCTTTCTGTTTTGACAGCATTTAGGTTGCCAATACAAGGGTCTCTTCTAATCATCATGATATTAGGCCTAACATAGTTCTTATAGTATATCTTAAGTCTGTCTTGATGTTGCAACTTTCTTTAGGAACTAATTTTCTTACTTGGATCTTTTATATAAATGGGGGTTCTAGCAAGCAACAAATCAGCACCTGACCTCATTGTCACTAAAATGAGAAAACTGACATGGTGGGACTTGTAAGAAAGCATATCAATCCTGTCTTTTAGCGTGTCTTTGGGCAATGTAAAACAGCATTGCTTGCTATCATTATTCTTACAACAAAATAATATTATTTATTTGTAACTACTGTTTTAAGAGGGCTTCCCTATCTCATTGAATTTCAGAAAGTTTTACCATGTTTAAGTCACAGATCTGTCTACCTACTTACATTTTTCTTTTTTTATTAAACAGAGCAACGTGAATGCCCTCATAGATATGAAACTTGAAAGGCATAAGAATTTGAGGGAAGAATCTTCATTTTACTGGCGAGAAATTGTTGATGGTACCCTCAAATTTGACAGGAAAGAATCTGAGGTAAGAATATATTACTTTACAAATATGGTGTGAGGATCAACCTTATGTTAGTGCATTGCAACTAAATCCTAATTTAAAATTATTGGGTGTAAATAAGGATTTGGTTTTAAAATATCACATTATTTGGCCCTGTTAAGCTATCTTACTGAAAGTAAACTCCCCTATCTTCTCTTTTCAAATCCTAGTAATTCTTATATGTCATCCTTGTTTGGCCATTCAACTGGACTGTAGACCAGGTTGGATCAGATATCAAGTCCACCAGTCACCAAAATTGGGATCTATGTAGTTGAATGGCCATTTGATTATGGCTGAAGTGACTAAACTGAATTGACTTATTGCTTTCTCCTTTAGTAGATAAAATAATTATACAATATAATATTTTTTAATATAGTAACCAATGCAACATTCTATTCAGACATTGAGGAGCTCAAAACCTACTTAACGACTTGTGGGCTAGGAGACTCTGCAATATGTCACAGTTTAGCCATTCTTGCTACTACTGTTGTTTTCAAAGTTTTACTTTGCAGTGTCCATGTTTGCAACACCCTGCTTTTATTATTGTAGGATTCTTTTAAATTTCAATTATGAGTTACTGGCCGGATGTTACCATGTATGGTTGAGATCTGACCAGTTCTGCAGTTCCTTAAACAGATCTATAGGAAACCCAAATTCCAAAACCTTGCTTAGATCCAAGATGCACAAAAGAAAACTCTTTGGACTGCATATCATGTTGAATGGTTATAAATCCCTGCATGCCAAATGGAACAAATGAAAATAAAATAAAATACCTCACGAGCTAGTTACAGCATACTGCATCCATGACCAAACAACTTAATCTGGAAACAGTTGGTAACTTCAGTCACTTGTGGCAATAAACAGGTTGCAGCATTGAAGCAGCTGACTCAACGAGAGTTGATAGATTTCTTCAATGAGTACATAAAGATGGGCGCACCTCGCAAAAAGACACTCAGCGTACAGGTATATGGGGGTTCACATTCTGATGGCTATGAATTAGCCAAAAGTGAACCTGTTGAACCACAAGCTGTTCGAATTGACGACATTTTCAGCTTCAGAAGATCACGACCTTTATATGGCTCTTTCAAAGGAGGCTTAGGTCATATGAAACTATAGATGCTTCAACCAGGTTGTACAGTAATTGAAAGAGCCTTCATTGATGTTGCACTTAGTGTTATAAAGCATGGGAAATATTGGTCGTAATGCCACTAACAGATCGCAATCACCCCATAAGGCTTCTCTCCTTCATTACATTAAATCAAAGCACTACCTTGTAATCATATGGTTGTACATTTTCAAATGTAGGGGAATCATATCGATCTGAACTGAGTTACATTTAGCCTTTAAGAACGCACTAGTGAAATACCACAGTTCTCATCTTTTGTGTATGCGGATGTCAAATATTTCTCTGGTGTACTTTTAATATCTTTCTCTATTCATGTTTTGAAATTGTTACGATAAATGTGAATTGTCAAAATTGTCCATTTTTCGTCCCATGTTGTGCAATTTTATCTATCACAAATCTGAACCTTCTTATAGTTGCTGAATATGAAATTACAAAATTCATTTTTTCTGTGACAAGAATTCTTATTGTTGTGTCAAATTTGAGAATACCAAGTGGCAGATAAGATAGGATCATAGGAAGTAAGTTTCACTGACCTAACTACTGTTTGGTCTTCTATGCAGACCAAACTATTGTCAGCGAATTCGAATTAGCTGAACGCTTTAGCTGTTCAGCAGGCTGTGGAACCAATGATGAGGTTCCACGCCAGTATTAAATTTATAGGCCTTATTGTAAAAGATGTGGGCCCCATATATTTCACTACTGGCATGGAACTTTATTATTGTTCTACAGCCCACTGACCTTGCCCATTGTAAGTCACATAGACGCCACTGGCCCACTGCAAGCTGATGAGTTGTTGAGATAAGAAAGAAGACAATAAACCCTGAGTGAAAGAAAACTATTAAATAGAGCTTTTAAGACAATATGGCATTAATTTTTTCATTTCTTTTATTTTTGTTTTAAATTAATTTTAAATGCAATCTTGGGTCAAATGGGTCGATGGTCCAACCACCCGGGTCAGTGGTCCTTTGTCCGTTTCAATAGTTTTCTTCAAGATAGTGGTTTAAGACAAAAACAGAACTGGTGGCATGACCAATTTCCGGACTGAACTGTTTGACTGTCTGAACTTTGCGAGGTGGGTTAAAAAAGCCTAAATATGCTGTTGTTACAGCTAAAAATTAACTTCCCAATAGAACTTCTTTTAGTAGCTTCTTCACAAAGGGTCAATGAAAACAGCTCAATCCAAACGAGCCTTCTAACAAAGAAACAACCCTTGGAAAGCATGTGCTTGCCACCCACATAAAGATAAAACAAGTCCAAGTTCTGTCAGCGAATAGCAATCCCAGTTCTTTACTCCCTCTAGAGCGCTTAGGCAAGAGGACTTTTTATTTCCCTACCTTTTCCTTTTTTATGAAGAGGTTAAGTCAACAACAGTTCAAAAAGTTCATGCTGAGGGGACAGTTCTGGCATTTAATTAAATCATAATTGTCATGTTATTACTCACCTCGTTTTTTGCATATGACTCCTATCTCTTCTTAAGAGCAAACATTAATGAAGGTTTGTAGATTGATGAAGCTTTAAAATTGTATGAAAGAGCCTTACAGGTGAATTTCTCTAAATATCAGAAATTTATTTCAATCCTAAGCTCCATATCTTAGGCAGCAAAAAATAGTTTCAAGAGCATAGGAACCGAAAATGTAAGTAAACCCTCCATTATCTTGTAATTCATTCTTACATCAATGGATCAACGATAAATCGGAATGATCGGTTAGATTTTCTTCAAAAACCGTTGATTTTGATCAGCAAACTGTTGATCCGGACAATTAACTCGACTTGACAGTACGGTCGCGGAGGTATGGATCGAGCACCTCCCGGCATACCATACCAATGTACTCGTGGGGTTTTAGGGTTTGACCGATGTCGACGACCACATCGGATGGGGAGATCATCTTCATCTTAGTGACCCAACGGTCGATAATGTCAAGCGGGAGGTCGAACTCTCCGATCATGCAGAGCGGAATATCACCGCCGAATGGCTTGCAGTTGTCCAGCTTCCGTTCGATGAGGTAAGTTTCAATGCCGCCCTTCGCTAGCGCCTCAGCAGCCAAGCCACCTGTCGGGCCTCCCCCAATAACGGCTACTCAGAGGTTGCGACCAGAGAGTTTGGGGCTGGATTTGCTAGCTAAGATACGGAATCTGCGGGGATTTGGTTTGGATGAGAGAAATTTAGTTAGGGAGAGGGAATGGTGATTCTCTAATGTAGTTTTCCGGAGGCCAACGAAGCTATTAAGGGTAGCGCGTCGGAAATGGGTGGTTTTCTGGTCACAATTGGCGGTGGTGGTGGAAAATGGGGAGTTGATGGCAGTAGAGGACGCCATCCTTGCTGGCCTCTGGCCTGGTATCTGAAGTCTGAACTCTGAACAGAGTAAGTTCAAACTTTTTTTTTAATTTTTTTTTTGTGAGAATGAACTGATCATTCGACCTGGTAACCGGACCCCTGATTAGTTCGGTTTCTGGATCTGTTTTAAAAACCATGTTCCTAAATGGCCATTCCCTGCTCTGGGAATAAGATTTCATTTCTGCTGATTTTAATTTTTATTCCCATTTCTGTCTGAACCAAACAAATTAGACTATAGAAATGAACCATTCCAATTCCGATTCCGAAAGATTTTGATTCCGATTCTAAAAATTTCGATTTTTGTGACTTGCCGTAAGGCATATTAACATGCTTATATGCAGCTTGTGAGTTTGTCTGTCTATTTGGAGAAAAAAAAATTAATCTATACTCCCTTTATTTGGATATGCTTCATCTCTCTATCTGCCTAATGGTTGGTTATTGGCTCAATGTTCCAGAATTTGAAGAAATACAAAGGGAGGAAGCTCTACAACTATCACCAAAGCCTCCTCAGAAAAGAAGTTGGAGGGGCAGTATAGTAGCACCTTTTACTGGGAACAATATGCTGGTATTGTACAGCTGTCCGGCCAACAATTCAAGCAATTATTTTGTACAAGTACTACATAATGAAGTTCTAGTTCCAATGCCGGTAAGCTCTAGTCGGAGAAATATTCAATCGATTATTACTTGAACTTAGTATCTTACTATTATATTCTTGATTTTCTGTTTTGATTTTCCAATGGAGCTAAAGTGTTTTTTGTTGCCTGAGCCGACTTGTTGTACAGGATGATCTCTCTATTGAGGAGTGGAGGCTAGTTGTGAAACTCAAGAATATATTCAGAATGTCGGGGCAGCTAATTCTATGCTTTGTAAGCTCCATAGTTCCTATTCAAAAAGAATAGTCGTGTTGGCGTAAAGAGGAGAGAGAAAACTGGCTTATTTGTTATTTTTTATATTTGTTTAATGGTGGGAGTAACTGAAACACCATTTGGTAGCAAGAAATAGTTGTATTTGCATTGATGGAAATGCCAAACATCCACAAAATTGTTTTTTTATTTGCGTCTTTCAAAACAAATGAGTTGAGTGCAAAGTGGGTGTGTAAATCTTGAACCACTTTTGCATTCATATGAATCAAACATTTTTGTTTTGCACTCTACAAATTTGTATTCGCACTCCAACCAAACACAGCCTTTGTTACAATTTAATCTGAAATCGTACAATTTTTAAGCTCCATTTGTTTGCTGCTGCCGTGAAAGTGCCTGAACTTCAAAAAATAAAAGAAAAAAAGAAAAAAGAAAAGAAAAAAACAGAAATTCTATCATATGACAGTGAGCCGTTTTCCTCACAATCACCAAAATCATGGTTTTCAAAACTGGACCAGACTGGATGGTTGGACCAGAAAAGCCGGGAACCGGTCAGGTTTTGTTTTACCCTAGAACCATTATTTCACCAAAAACTATTGATTTGGTCAACAACCGCTGACCCGGGCAGTCAAACCATTCGAACCATCTAACGATTTGGCTGTTTCTTTTTTTTATTTTTTTATTTTTTGTTAGAACGAACCATCCATTTGATTCAAAAGGTCAAACTGTTCGACCCAAGATCCAGACCCTTGAACGATTCGTTATCCGATTCAATTTTAAAAACCTTGACCAAAACAACCATAACAGCAAGGCAAAGACCCTTTTCAATCTCTTGTTTTTATTTCTTTACAAATTTATATCTATATAAAACTCCGGATGCCTCGAAACAATTATTCCAAACAATATTGTAAATAGATCTACATATATTATCAAAATTTAATAAATCTACATATATTATCAAAATTTGATAGCAAAACATGACTGATCCACAAGCAAAGCCCTAAAATCAATCAGTGTCCCTAATACGATTTGATTAATGAACCAAATCCTCAAAATCACAGCAAATTCAACCCAGCACCACATCTCAGCTATCACATATCACAGGAATCAATGCAGCTAAAAAAGGATAATCAAAATCTGTTGTAATTGAAAATCAGAGCAAGAAACATATATTTAAGTCAATTTATGAAAACTCAGAATATATTCAAGTCTTACAGAATCAGAAATTCGCATGGTGGGTCCCATGCAAACCAACCAAACAAACAAAAGAGAAAAAAAAAATAGACATCAAAAACCTACTTTTTAGCAAATGCCAAGTTCTATGTTCCCTCTCGGTCTTCTTCCTCTTGTCTGATAAATTTGAAAGGTTGGTGAGTAGATTACGTAGATAAACACCTTCCACGAATCAGGTTTCAAACATTGAACTTCTGAATTTGCACAACGTAGCAGAGATCTATCTACCGCGTAAAGAAACCTTTGAATTGGTCAAATGTTCACTTTCAATTTACATCATTCATAGTTAATATTTATCTAGTCCAGTTTGTTTTTCTTTTGGTCATTTATATGTATTTTTTTTATTTTTTGAGTAAGTGAGATAATAACCATTTTACCCTTAAAAAAAGACAAAATTGGAAAGAATAATATCATCCTATTATGTGTGCACAATTTTTTCTCCGGATGGAAAACTTATCTAAGGCCCTGTTCGCTTTTCAGTAAGTTATTTATCCGGGTAAATGCAAATTATCTGGGTAAGTTTTTCCTGGGAAACACTTACTCGGATAAGTGCATTTACTCATGTTCTTTTATTTCTTAGGTAAATAATGTAATGACCATTTTAATCATAAAAATCTATTATTAAAAGGGGCATTTTTGTCCTCCTAGGTGGGAAAGTTATTTACCTACCTAGGAGATGGGTATCACTAGTGATACTAAGGAAAATAAACTTTCCCTGGTCCTCATATTAATCTGAAAAATGAACATGGGATTTTTGGTCAATAGGAACCAAAATCCCATTGACCAACTTTCCCCCCTCTCAAAATTCAAAAAATGAATGCCCTCTAAGTGATACCTAGGAAAGTAACTTTGTTATATATAACTTTGTTATATATGCATACTCAGGAAAGTATCTTTTCCCATTGAATAACTTTCCCATGAACAAGGCTTTAATATATAAAAAGAAGGGCTTATAATTGATACATGATAAATGTTATGAGGCAGAATTTTTTTTTCATAACTAGGAGTCTCTAAGGTGGACCTTTTTGGATTCCCAATTGAATTTATGGAAAATTTCCGATTAGTACTTTATACTTTGGGCCTAGTGCCACTTTGGTCCCCAAACTTTAAAATGCAACAATTCAATACTTGAACTTTCAAAACATGACAATCTAGTACCTGCTATTAACTAACTATTAGTCAACTGTTAAGTGGCATATGAAAAAGACATTAATGCCCTTTGAGTGTCATCTAATTTTCTTTATCAACCATCCAAACATTGACAAAAAAATAGTAGTCTCATATCCTTGCCTTTTCTATTCAAGAAAGTTGGGGTCACCAGAATAGTTGATTAACAACTAATTAACGGTAAGTACTGAATTGTCACGTTTTAAAAGTTTGGATACTGAATTATCGCATTTTAAAGTTTGGGGACCAAAACGGCACTAGACCCAAAGTACAAGGTACTAATTGAGAATTTTCCCTTGAATTTATACATGTTAGATTCTTAGATAATAAACAAGCCCACTTATACACATTTACGTGTTAATCAATGGGTTAATTATGTTGAAAATTAAACATAATATACAAAACACAATAAATGTGGTGCCACTACTTTGAGATGAACCAAGGATTTGTATTTACATGTAATATTGTCACTCTTGATCCTACTTTTTTTGACAATTAATTGATCAAACCTTATGCAACGTAAAAGAGTATATATTACTGAGAAGGCAAAGTTAACTTTAGAGGTTTAAATTCAAAAGATGCTTTCATTCGCATATGATGAGATGAGACTGCAAGTCAAATTTTCTTTTAGGGGGCATTCTTTTTTGGGATTTTGAGAGAGGGAAAAGTTGGTCAATAGGATTTTGGTTCCCATTGATTAAGAATTTTATGTTGGACTAAGGAAAATTGATTTTCCTAGGTACCATCTCCTAGGTGGGCAAATAACTTTCTCACTTAAGGAGAAAGTTGCCAACACTTGAATGGGACAAAAAATATATTTTTATGATTAAAATGACCATTGCCTTATTTACCTACGAAATAAAAGAACATAGATAAATTGCAAATACAATTACCCGGATAAATAATTTACTAAAAAACAAGCGGGGCCTTAATGTAATTAATTATGATGCCATACCAACCAATGGATTTCTTAATCTTGTTTGATGAGTTTTTTTTTTTAGAAAATTTGTTTGGTGAGTTAAATTGTTTATATAACGCACGCTGACTCGTAAACTCTGCATTCTTCGTCATCTTTGTTCAGAGCGAGAGGGAAGACAACCGAGCTGAAGCGTGAAGGGAAAATGGCGGTCGGAATTACAGAAGTGAAGATAGTGAAGCCTCGAACAGACAAGAGAGAGTACAGGAGGATCGTCCTCCCAAACTCTCTCGAAGTCCTCCTCATCAGTGATCCCGATACCGATAAGGTATATTTACTAATCAGAATTCAGAAATGGGTCTTCTGCACTTGCTTTTCCTAATTTGATTTCTCCATTAAACTGCTGTTGTTTCTATCTTTGAGAATTAAAAGTTCCTTTGATTGAATTTTGATGCATATAGGCTTTCAGTTTTGGCAATTTTTGTTGTAGAATTGGTGGTTTGAGGCTTGTTGGCCTTAAAATGCAGTTTTATTTGTATGTTAATTTGGATTTTTATTTTTGATTTTGCATCCGTAGTTGCTCTCTCAAATCTTCTTATTCTTCCACCATTTTCTTTTTTGGTATTGAATTACACGCCTTCTCTCCCATTGGGACCGTAGTTTATTTTTTTTTGGCATAGTATAACATTTTTTCAACAACTATCAAATAACTCTTCTCCAAATGGTGATTTCTGGAATTATTCAGTTTAAATACTAACCGAGCCATCACGCGGTATTTTTCCACTGGTGAAAGGTATGACATTTAGGACGTGATTGTCGCAATTTTGTTACCCAACTCAGCTGATTGTCGGATCAAGCAACCCATTTGAGCTGTTGAGCTGGGTAACACATCATCACACTAAAAATCAATTTTCAGATAATCAGATCAAGCATTGACCCAGATAAGGAAGAGCTTCATATGCCATATGTTCAATAGGGGTTGAATAAGAGGTCAAACTGATATATTTGTATATAAATGTATGTAATAATTATAAATAAATTATAATTAGATTATAATTTATTTAAAATATATAATTATATTCTTCTATAATATATATATATATATTTTTTTTTTTTTATTTTAGTTCTAATTTATTGTATTGGGATAAAAAGCCTTTGGCACTTTGAGACAAAACGTCACGTGTCTACGGGTTTTGACAGAATATTAACAGATGTTAATGGTAAGGGTAGAGTTAGTCAATTGTCAGAGACAATAAGAGTAGCATTAGTCAAATTTCAAACAGTAAGGGTACAGTTAGTCAATTAACTAAACCATAAAGGTAGTTTAAGAAATTTATCCTTAGAATTTTTGGAGGCCGGCCAAGGGTGATTGTGTTCACACGCACATGTTATATGACAAGCACTTCACACGCATATGACAAACAGTTGTGTGTTTACACGATAACACCTACGAACCACACACATGAACGAGTCAGTCTGGTGTGAAGACTCTGAACCACAAACACAGGGGCCATTAAGGCATTAACGACCAAAGCTGAAATTTCAAAATTGTTGCCTTTTTAATGTGCATACCTGAGCTGCGTTGCACAGGGTGATGGTCATGCCCATGGCACCATGTGACCACTGCACCAACTTGTCCCTTGGGTTGCCTTCACTGGATTGGTAATTGCCGGTGTGGGGAAATCTGTTCTTCATCTTGTACCTGATTGTGTCCTTAACATCCTTAGCATCTTTCCCAGAGATAGGAAAGCGGAGCACACGTGAAGGATCCCAGCAAGGCCATGGGCTGCACCCCAGTACCTAGTAGGCTAGTACCGTGCCATCTATACGTCAATGGGCAAGCTGTGGTATCGAATGCCCCAGCTCGTCCACCGGCCAACACAGCCTCAACCAC